TAATGCGTAAGAGGGTTTAAAAGTCTCAAGTAACTGAAGTAACTGAACTGAATCTCGAATGGTAAGCCTAAGTAATTATTGTATTTGATAATTGTTTTTGTTATATTTAATTTCATGAAGTCTTGCACAGTTCACGCTGACAGTTTATGCAGCAAGTTTATGCTCGTTTGTAGGATTTGAGTCAACGATCTGACCTAGTATCAGGTTTGAGCGATTTGAGTGATTTTCTTGCTTCGAGAAGTTCACCTTCGAAAACAGTAAACACCGCGCCGGGAAGCAGGCTTAAGCTTTACGCTTAAAGACTCAGGTTTAGAGACACTTTAATAAATTGTTGTCTCTGTAAATGTTTCACCGAATTATATTTCTTTTTTTGATTGTTCATAGTCTCTCTTGCAATTTTAATCGCTTGTCCGTGCCGTTTGTTTTCATCGTCCATGAACATCGCTTGCAGGAGTACTCAAAAATGTCGCGCGCGTATCAAACGCTTTATAAGATTACACATCGTTATAACTAAAAACAATTAAATAACAAAAAAAAAAAAAAATTCGCTATTATGTTGAAGCGTAACTCTAAAGTTCATTCAAACACTCCACCACACTGGCAGCTCGCACTATAGAAACGAGAACCAGCTGGCTGTATGGGTGATTTTGGAAACTTTTGAACGGTTTCGCTTAAAGCCCACGATTGATCGTCCTGAATATTGACTGAGTGCAATTTGTCTTGAAAAATTGTGAAGTACCGCATTCTGTCCGAGGTCTGTATGATAAATAGTACTGTTTCACCTCAAATGTGATGTATAAAAATTATAAAAGGTTGGTTTAAACACCCCCAGATTTGTTGGCAAGAATTTGTAGAGTAAACCTGTCGAACGCAAAAAAATTTGGCGTGATTTGTTTTCCAAGAATTTGTTTTCGAGGCCTAATCTACTGTGATCTTGAATGTGATCGAAGATGTTTGCTATTTTTTGGGTGTACATATAAGGTTATCAATTCGATGTAAGATGTTTCACTCTAAAATAACTTAGCCTTTCCCCCAAACGTCACATGAATGTGCCCTTAAGTTAACTGATTTGTGGATTGAAAGTTTATTGTTTTATTTAAGTTATAAATTTATTAATTGGAGCTTCGCTTTTAGCCCTGGCTAAATCTATTTATTAGCTTTTATTGGCAAATTTGTCGTTTTTTATAGTGAATTACTGTCTGTGTCGGCAATATGAATTTCGATGAAGAGCAAAATATGATTTGCTAGGTTACTTTCTTTATCCCGAAGACTCCACTGAGATTCGCTTGTATTTTAGACGGCAACGTGTTCGACCATGTACGAACTGCACAGGGCTTTCAAAATGATAAACTATAGATAAATTTTGCTGAGTTTGCATTTCGCTTCGTTTGTACTAGCTATTTCTCCTATGAGAACAAATAAGTTTAAATCACGAACATTCGACAACGAAATAACTTAATTTAACGCTGGAGGCGTCGGGACACAAATTTCAACCGTACAGACGATACATTTAACAAGAAAGTGTAATTTACCTTGTGCTCTCAGTGGTTTTAACATTCCAGACTGCTCCGTTCGTAGTTAACATGTTTGTGAAGCTGAGAAAGACGGCTTGGCGGTTCAAACGATAGCGTCTTTTTTCTCCTTTACGATGGCAACCTTCGCCAGCTCTCATAACTGAAGTTACCAATTTTTGAATGTGGCGCGGAGCAACGTCTTGATTTGAATAATAGTTTCTGATTAGATTTTCTTACTGCACGTGTCTATGTAGCAAGCCGTTCTGGCTTCTGATTGGGCAGAAAAGCACAAAAATTTTCTGGGACCAATCAGAAGCCAGAACGGCGGCGACCGTTTGGAACTGGTCTGGTAAGACATTGTCCCCAGGGGCTCTTCTCGCCGTTCTTTACTTTTCTTCGAGCCATATTTTTCCGCCCGTTTAGACTTTCCCTCGCCCCCACTATCTGCCCCTGGGTCTCCGAGGATGGGTTTATTTTCATGCATCGGCCTGACATTTCAGTTCTGTCATGCCTCAGTCGATGTATCAGTTGCTATATCGGTCAGGTATCGAGCGAGTATCAGTCAAGAGTGAACCAAGGTATTTGCCGTCTCGTTGACTGAGTGATATGACCATGATCTGTCAGTGATCTGTTGGCGAAGTAACAGCTGACTATCGACCAACTTTCGACCGATAGACTGTAGTTGTCGACTACTGAGATTTGACTGACACGAAAAGATATAGTCCAAAGAAGTCTGTGATCAGTTTTAAGAAACCTTGATTTTCCTATACATTTTCTGTAGCTATCAGCATGAACTCCTATATAGTGAAAAAATCATTTACAAAAGCCAGACCCATAGGGAGAGGGGGTGCGACGGGTGCGCTCGCAACCCCACCGCCCCTTCCCCACATGTTCCAGAGGTCCATATACACTTTTTTGTTCATCAAAGTGAATGTAGCGTGTTGTTCTATTAAAATTACTATGAAAGAACTCATAAGCCTGACTCACCCTTTCCACAAAACGTGTCTGTTTTGAAAGATTCGTAGTGTGGATCTAGTGTAGCAAATGTTTTCCCACTCAGTGGGAAAACAGGTCACGTGGTCTTTAGCTATACAGCTGTGATTTCCTGTAGTTTCTTAGGCCTAGTCTAGAGCGTCGCGTTAAACGTTACATCAGATTCAACGCGATACTTTATTGTAGTTGAGTGGTATTTTTCGAAGGGCTGTTACTTTCGGGGTAAAATCAGTAAAATGTTAGCGTTACTTTCGAGCCCGGGGGAGGGGGGTACTGCCATATAAGGTTACATAGGTATGTGCCGCAGTGAAGGGTATGATTTTCAAGCTGTTCACTCTGGGATAGGGCGTATAAATCGGGGAGTTAAGTCTCGAATAGGGTATCATTTTCCAGGAAACTGACAAATTGGCTGAAGATTTTAGTGTAGACTACGGAAACCCGGAATTGCCACTCAAAAACATAAAAAAAATTAAATCGGCAAATCTATATTTACGCAAGTCAGCCTAAAAGCTACTCTAGGATAGGGGGATATTTTGATAGTTTAGTCTGGTATAGAGTAGCAAAATTCAGCTGAACTAGCTCTGGTGTAGGCTAAGGGTTCCAGGGTCCCAGCGGCATACCCCCACCCAAATTTCCTAAAGAAACCCCACGGGCTTTCGGGTAGCCGTTATTTTAAGGGGGGGGGGGCGGTTTCTTTCGGAATTTTACAGTAGCTTTACGATCGCTAGCTTTAGGTGTTAGGATTTTCCTCTCTTTATAAATAAAAGCGGCCCAACAACTTTAAGATCGAAGCGCAAAATACCGGCGTTCAGTCGTCAACACCCTGAGTGATGTTTTCTCCGCTACGAGATGATGACCAGCCCCCCCCGAGTTATTTCGAGTCCTTTTCCCTTTGTCTTTTTAAAAGGTGCTATTTTGCGTATGTTGTCTACAATGATAAGAAGCTGTTGTGTTAAAAGGCCGGGTAGTAAATCTTCTTTGGCTACTAGTAGGCAGATTTAAACGCACAACCTAAAACGTTTTATTATAAGCCATATACTGATATACTTTATGAGTAACGTATGAATTAAACACTCTATTCTACAAAAAAGTTACCTATTGGATAGTAAACTCTAATTATAATCGCTTAATGTTCTACCTGCTCTCCAAATTCAGTCGCATCTCGTAAAACGTTTCTCAAGCCATATACTGAAATAATTGTTTCTTCACTCAATATTGTCTATTTAACACAATGCCTACTTCATACGCATGACCTACTTTATAAGTAAGTAAGTAACATGAATTTAGGCAAATTCTATTCTATGAGTAAGCTACCTATTTGATAGAGAACCCTAATTGAAAAAGCTTAATGGGCCTACTAGATTTAATTTCATATCCTAAAACTTGCCATTATCAAATTATCTACTCTTGTCTTCAATTAATATTATCTATTTTATGTGCATAAATTTCGTCAGAATTAATTTCAAAAATATTTTATAAGTAACCAATAGCATGATATGTTAGAATAAAGAAAAACGTTTTCAACGTTATCACGTTGTTAGTCAAATATTCATATAAAAAGCAAGCTTAGGATATCGAAATGACGTCTCAGCGATATCGTCGCAGGCCTTACTTCTTTTACCAAGGTTAATTCTGAGCATCTATGTGCCATCACCCACAACGGTAAATGTAAAAAAAATATGGCTTTTGGGCATGATTACTAAACTTTATAAAGACCTCGCTTTCTCTTTGGTGTGAAATAAACACACTTCGCTGAGTGTAAAACTGATTTGACAAAAACACCAATTTTTCATGATATACGACGATTTTTAACCTTGTTATTTTTTTCTAGAAATACTTTTGTAAACAACCTTGTCATGATAAACAATTCGACCTGACTTTCCGTAATAGACAGTTTTATAGATTGCCAGCCCATTCTATCAGCAGCGACAACTGACAGAACCGATGTTACACAGCTCTTGATAGTTCATCGATGATCTCCTGCATGGTTGGTCTCGCTTCAGGATCTGTCAGCAGGCATCGCCGAACTAAGCCTCTTAAAGTGCGGTTCGACATAAGAACAACTTGCTCGTCACGCCTTTCAGGATCTGGAAGTTCCCCGATACACATTTCACATAACAGAACACCAAAGCTGTAAACGTCGACCTAAAAAAGAACAATAGATATGTACTGGTGTTGTCTCAATGGTAATTAGCTCTACTCTGTTCTTAATGAAAAGCAAGCTCTCGTGAAAACAACACTACGTCGATTCAATCCTAACAACTCAGGTGATTTTATGAGTACGCTTAGTTCAATGACATAGGCAAACCAACATCTTCTTTTCTTAATCTAGGACATCTCCCTCACGCGAATACAGCTTTCTTTCGTTTCTTAACGCGGAAACAAAATTTTGTCTAAAGGAACCGGTAAAAGCAAAAGTACCAAACTGATTTGAATAATCAATAATAAACCAAGTCCACCAAATTGTGCCCCTGTTGAATGGTCGTGCAGTGCTCAGATCTGAAACAAACGATTACCAACCTTAGGAGTCTGATTTGACGAAAGTGCTTCAGGTGCGCTATAAATCATAGCTCCAGGAGCCACTGTCATGGTCTGCTGCATGAAATTAGCAGTGCCATAATCTGACACTTTGCCTCTCCATTGGTCACCCTGTCGCCATAGCAACACATTGGCACTGCTGACATCCCGGTGAATGATTGGTGATGGTTTCTTCTGATGAAGATAGTTAAGAGCACGAGCCACATCCAGAGAAATGACGCGTATTTCTGTTTTGGAAAGCGGCCGCTCTTCAAACAAAGTTCGCAAACTTTTCTCCATGAGCTCTGTCACAAATAGCGGACTTCCTTCATCATTTGTGGCGCGAATAAACTGTAGCAAACAGGGATGGCGGCAAGCTGAAGCAATATTCATTTCTCTTTCAAATAAAAGCCTGTTATGGCGGGATAGAATTAGGTCATGGATTTGCTTCACTGCCACAGTACAGCCACAGTAGGTACCTTCATTGACACTTCCCCAACCACCCCTCCCTAGGCAATTCTCTGTCATCTGAATTTCATTACGGGAAATAACCCAGTCGCATGTTTCCTGTCGTCGTTGTTCACTGATTGTTTGCTGAGCTAATGAAAGACTTAACTCTAGTTCATTTACTTCCTGGTCTTTTTCCCTCAGCTGTCTTTGCAAATTTTCTTCACGTTGCTGTGACTCCCTCAGCTGCCTTTCAAGGTTTCCTTCACGTTGCTGTGTCTCCCTCAGCTGCCTTTGTAAGTTTTCTTCACGTTGCTGTGTCTCCCTCAGCTGCCTTTGTGAGTTTTCTTCACGTTGCTGTGTCTCTCTCAGCTGCCTTTGAAGGTTTCCTTCACGTTGCTGCTGTCTTTGCGAGTTTTGCTGTAACTCCCTCAAGTGTCTTTGCAAATTTTCTTCGCGTTGCCGCATCTCTCTGAGCTGCCTCTCTAAATCTCGTTCGTGCTGCCGTACTTCTCTTGATGGCCTTGGTATAGGCGTTTGTACGCTTGCTCCACGTAGATCTTGCATATTTTCTGTAAGGGTTTAAGACAAGGAAATTAATCACTCAAAGTCGCCCAGGAGAGGAGAAGAGTATGTCTTGGTAGCAGAAAAAAGAAAAAAGAGAACTCTAAATTCAAGTATTTAAGGCAGAAAGCATACCTAAGAATAAACAAAAACTACTGCATACAAGGTTTATTTATAACATAACAAAAGTAAAGCGCGTGCTCTGATTGGTCAGTTAGCCATCTACTATTTGCCCGTTGGTGCACGCGAAGAAACGCGAGCGCGGTAAAATTGAGGCAAATATTAAGCAAATCTGCTCTCCTGTGCGGTTTAACATGCACCGATAATATGTGCAAATGAAAAGTGGAAGTTGAAGAAAATACTCAGTTGTCGTTTTGAAGAAAAGTCAAATGATCGAGCGACAAATTTGACAAATTTGCCCTGAAGAAATTCCTCACTGTTTTGTTCGCGGCTGGGAGCTCAGAAGAAAACCCGAGTGAGCGAGGTTTTTTGGAGGATCTAAGTCCGAGATTCAAGGTAAATTGTTGTTTTCTTTCTCGGGTATTGATGTCAACGGGAGCAAGAGACTGTCTCCCACCCCGACTGTGAGTAATTTGAGTCTCAGGCCGTGTCGCTATCTTTCAACGGTAACGCGGAGTTCAAACCAAGGTTCTGTCAATGGCTTCAGACGGGAAAGGTTGAAGAGATTGGCGACCTTTGATTCGTTCTCGATGCAAAGGCGTCTTGAAGCAAAATCACGAGTGGAAAGCAGAACTATCGTGTGTTAACTAGGCGGAATTTGGAGGCGACTGGAGCCGTTGGAGCGAATTTCCGGCCGTTTTCCTTCGGTGGATCCGTCGGGCCGCTTCGCTGGAGTCCCCAGCCTTGGTAAACCTTTATATAGAGAGAAAACCGTTTACAGTACAACCCATAAAACGGCCTTAAATCGGCCCATGGACTCACAAGAGAGACGTAGTACACACTTTATGCAAGGTAAGCTGTTTTTTATTGAAATCCTTTTCGTAGGTCACGGAAACGATAAATTTTTTCCCATACAAATCTTTATATTTCGAATGTTACGCAACATGGCCGCTGTTCGCCGATACCCATTATTTCGAAATTGGGCTACCTGTGTTGAAAGTAACAAAACGCGTCGACTGTTGCATATGTGCTTCTAGAGTTCTAGGTTAAGGCTCGGCCAAGCTGCTCAGTGACAGTTATTCTCGCAGGCATCCATGTTTAACATGTTTACTACTTTGGATGGTGTATTACTTGAGGAAGTATATGTTGTATTTGTATCGGGGTTGTAAATCCGATGGCGTGCAAATGCATGATAAACTGGCGAATCAGAGACTGTTAATGCTTGTGCTTGAGGTCCCTGAGGAGGCATTGCCCTGAGTTCAAAATCCTTAATTTTTAAATCATTCCCCAACTGACACAACACCACAATTTCTTTGAAAACGTAAACCCATTACTCTACCATTTTTTCGAAGAAAAGGTATCCATCTCATGCAAACGACTTCAGTGTAAAAAAAATAATGTTCAGTGCCCCTTTAAGGCAGAGCCCTGCTATGTAGAGAACTGTAGGGAGTCTCCCCTATTTACAAGGTCACTCAACATTGTCACTTTCAGACTGGTCGTTAAAACTTCCCCACAAGAGTTAACGTTTTGCAGCATTTTTGAGCCACTGTGCCTTGGCAATCAAATCTTTGGGTATAGAACAAGTCCTAAACGACTTATTTCGTTGAAACAGCAATGCCTGACATCAGAGCAGGGGGATTTTTTATAAATCCTAATAATTCTAAATAGCCAATCAGCTGTTCTCTTTGAGTTTGTTACATTAATGGTCGCAAAGTTGTTACGTTAGTGGTTAAGTTTTTTATTATGCCGAACTATTAACGCCGGTTATAACCCAAGTCTGGAATTTGTCGCTGTCAACTCACACCTGGCCGGACTCTTGGAAGAGGGCGAACATCAACCCCCTACCGAAGTTCGACATCCCCAAAGAGGATTCGGACTACTGAGGCATCAAAGTCACGTCCGTGATCGCAAGAACATTCGAAAAAGTTGTGTACCACACCCATGTAAAAGCGGTTGTAGAAAATAGCCTTAGCCCTAGCCAATTTGAACACAGGCAAGGGGGTAACTGCACAAACGGCTTATTATCTATTCAACACCATGTATATAGACAACTAGACAACGACGACTGTAAGGCAGTTCGTTTGTTTACAATGCATTTTAGCAAAGCGTTTGATTCCGTAAATCATAGCAAGTTATCAGCTAGACTTAGCAACTTTCCTCAATCCTTACATCGTTAATTGGTACCATAGCTTCTTGGTTGCTAGGTAACAGCAAAGTTTCTATAATAATCACCTCTGCAACTGGAAGGTCGTTAACAAGGGGACCACCCAAGGAAGTGTAAGCGGGCCTTATCTACTTAATATATTTTTGAATGACCTAGAAATTTCTTTTAACAATGCTCCTGCTCTACTTTAATATGCTGATGACTCTACAATAGTGTCTCTGATTGTAAGCCTGTTTCGGGCGCATGTTAATCTCAAATTAATTAAAGCAAACAAATGTCTCCATGTTTCAAGGACCCTTAGAAAAAAGCAATATTCACCAGCAGAAATAGATCACTTGTTCACTGTCTTAGTTTCGCCTAAATTTTATTTATGGCGGTTTACCCGTATATGGAGCTTCTGAACCTAATCTTAATATTTTACAGAACTTTTTAGATAGATGTCATAAACGCCGTTTTATTTCTTACCCCGTTTCAATCAAGGATCTGTTAATTAATAGAATCAAGACTGCAAAATTTTTAAGAAAGTAACTTCTATAAACAATCACCCGCTAGCTTCATATATTCCTTCAAAGAAAGTCTGTTCTTATAATCTAATGTCTGCCTTTGTAAATAGATTAATATTTAAACTCAACCTTAGTACAGGATAGTTAGGATTCTATGATTATATTATTTATTTCATTATGTTTTTTTTTATGTTTTATTCATAAACAGTTGTAACATCGGATATGTATCTTTATCTTGTGTGAAATAAAGACCCATTATTATTACTATGATTATTATTATTATTATTAGTTAACTTTTTTATTACATTAGTGGTTGATATTTATTACATTAATGGTTAGTATTGCATTAGTGGTTGATATTTATTACATTTATTTAGTGGTTACTTCTAGAACGGGCGGAACTTATCCAGTTTTCTGTAGCTTGAAACATGCCTAGGAGTATTGCTACTCTCTCCTCGACAGCGGTTTGTGAGTTTCACGCTTAATTTCCGACCTGTTATAGGTGCTTGCAGCATCCTTGCTTGGCGAGTTGCTTCGTAGTCATTCAAAAAGGTAATTTTGTTGAGACCATATAGGAGCTATTTTTCTATTAAGCTAATTCAAACCGGCTACTTTGCTCAAACTCATTTATTTTCAGCAGGCAACTCTTTAAAGCAAAACGGTAACTAATAGTATAATCCTGTATTACCTCAGGCGCGGATCCACACCAGTTTCTACAGATCGACTTATGCGAATCGGTCAAATTTTTTATAATAAATACATTTTTAATATAAAAATTTCCAAGTTAATCTTGAAAATGGTTTGGACTCGCCTTGCTTCATATCCACTACAATACGGAAATTGACCTTGATGAAGTGATCCGCCGATTTGCAAGGATGCATCCGCAACTGGCCAATATCCTGTCTGAATGACTCAGAAACCAAGGAAAAGGGTGTTTAGGAAGTTAAAATCAGAAAAATTCCAGAGGGGGAGAATGCCCCCGGACCTCCCTAGAACCTTGCGCTTTCGGCGTTCGCTGTTAGAAAATCGGTCAGTAGTTATCCTAGATCAGCGCTTGTACCTCATATCCTTACCCTCGTTCTAATTTTAATACTTATAGGTTTTAAACGACGACGTCACGCACAGAGACGTCGTTTCCTTTCAAGTCATTTCACAATGTGTGGCAGCAAGTTTATCATTTTAGCACTCTGGAAATCGTTAAAAAAAGGCTGACAGAATGATCTCTCGGTATGTATACTGAACATGTATACGAAACACAAAACCACATGGAAAGTGCTTTGTGCGGTATTTAAGCACGAATTTGTTTTTGCATCTCTCTGATACGTCAACCGTACGCGCGTACTTTCAATGGAGTATTCTACATGTATATTTCTTTTAGTTAATCTAGTTTGAAGCCTTGTGCAGGCTAATACTCTTTGTCAAGAGATGTTTCCTTTTTACTTTTACCGGCTCCCAGTACTTTATAACTCGGTAGAATCTCAATCAAACTTCAAGTTACAGGTAAGTCTTGTTTAATTTTGCGATGGATAGGTTAGCGCTATAGAGTGTTTCAACATTCTGGGCCAACGTGAGATACGTATTTAGAAACAACGAAATGAATTAAGGGGTAAAAAATACAATCATGTAGCTCTTCCCGGATTCATCTAGCACTGGTTGATGAATTACCCACAGAGAAATAGTCTTAAAAAAAAAAAAGGAAAGAAAGAAAAATGGAAACGGGCTTTGAGAAAGTCTAACTAATGTTTGACCCTAAGCTTTCATCTAGTCTTAAATATGATCTGATTTGTTGACTCCAAAAGACTAGAACTGGGGCCAGCCCGATATCATGCTCTTTTTAAGTAGATCGATGTTGTTCTTGTAGTCTACCCTTCTTGACACTGTTGACAGCGCGTTTTGACGCAAGGATTGCCGGTTGACCAAATTCATAAGCGTTAATCTTTATAAACTTTAGTCTGGATATTTCCCTTATCAATCTTAAATATTTAAGACCAGCTATTCATAAATATGTACGGGTTTAACCATATGCTTCTCAATTCAAAAAAACAAACTAACTACTCTCGTCATAAGCTTGAGCAACCTGTTTCTAAGCTTACGTACATACAGTAAGTTTAATCTTATTCCTCTTTTCATCAAAAACCTTATTTTACACTCTTACCTTTGATACTGGCGGACATCTTGTCAATAAACTGCTGAAGCTCATTTGGATCAGCATCTTTTAGTTCAACAGTTTGTCCTTTTTGACAAGACGGCCATTTCATCAGTTCACTAATTGTAACTGTATCCTGGGTGACCTTCATTGTAGTTTCAGGCAGAATGTGAAACTGAAACGGTAAGGAAAGATAATGATATAATTTAAGTTACATTGACTATAGTGGCAGTAGTTTTTGTAAAATAACAACTAAACACAACAATTCAAAGCCCATTTCACTGAGATCTCACTTACTACAGGATAAACAGTTATGCCTTCAGTTACAGCACAATGAGTTCAATATGTTCTGCTCAAAATCATTTGTCAAGACCGCTCATATTTATATTTTCGTTCTTTTTTTTTCACCATAACTTATCTTTCTTTTTCTAGATTGGTAAATTTTCGGTCCTCAACTTAATGTACGGACCAAATCTGCACTTTAATACCTAAGAATACAAGAATCTGTTTAGGCAAGCTAAATATAATCAAGCAGGTTCTTCTGGTTAATTTTTACTGTTAAATTATGATAAACAATTTAACAAAGGAGTGTAACTTTAAGTTGTAAATTTAAGTACAACAAAAACATACTGTACTAAACTGTATGATATTCGGTAATAAGTTTTGTTAGGGTTATCATAATTGTGAATAAACAGAAAATTTATTTATTTTTCTCATTATCAACAATCTATTATGTCCTTCATAAAAATTACTTGTAAGAACCTAATTAAGAACCTACCTAACCTAAATTACCAATAAGTACCCCAAGAACAAGAACCTACCTCAAAAAAAGGGACCTTCTTATCACCGGGTATTCACACCTTATTTAACCATAGACTGCGAAACGCAGACGTATTTCCGGTCGTCACTTCGCTCCCTCTGAAAAACCGGACATACATATGCGTTTTGCAGGCTAATTTAACCAAGACGCCATCAGCTGCAGCAAAATTTGTGCAATATGTTTAGCTCAAAATCATTTGTCTAAACCGTAGCCTTGCAGCTCTTTAGAACCTCTAATTCGTTTGGATTCCTATATGTCGCAGCTCTTTTGTTTCAGGCTAGGTTCCATTGTTACTTTGTTTGTTCATTGCTTTATTCTTAGCTAATCCCTATGAGGTTGCCCAGTATACACTAGACCATGTGGTCCGTGGCTCGTCCCCAGACCTTTAGGAAGAGGGCCACACCACATCTCCCTTAATTCCCTACCGTGAGCAAGCCAGGCAACATCTTCTCTCCCCGACATTAGATGAAAGATTATAGTTTAAATGAACTTGAGTTAACATCTTGTACTTTTTAATAGTTTTTACATATTTTAGCTTTTTAATGTCTTTGCGAATTAGGAGTATTTTGTATTTTTTTTTTAATTTTATGAGATCCTTTTTGAAAACCATATTTTATATGAAAAAGTAATCTCAATAAAGATTATTATTAGATTATTATTAATTTGAACAGAGAAGGGTAATAAGAGGTAAAAAATATATTAAGATGATAACTATTTTTATGCAAGACACAAAAAACTCATTATCGGACTAACTTAATAATACCTGAAGAATAACTTTGTGACGTTGGGTAAATTTTACTTGACAATAGCGGCCATTGTCGCATCATTTCAGGTTTCATGGAATACTATTTGGTGTGAATTTTAACTTGTACAGTGTACAAGAAATGGAGCATAAAAAAAGTCTTAGTTATCAAAGATTATCATAATAATACCGATCAAGAAAGTCGACAGGCTCACAGTTCAATGCACAGAAAGTTGTTAAGTGAGCTTTGAAATCAAAAAATTAAACTTGAACCAATAGATGAAACAAATACAATAAAGCTTCTATTCACGGGACACCCTCAGGACCAAAGCAAGTGTCCCTTGAATAGAGGTTCCTCCTGATTAGAGGTTGGGCTGGGGTTTGTTAATAATTAACCAACAAAGACAGCATAAAAGAATCATCATTACGGACTTTAAGATGCCACGGTGATGACAAAGAGAACGTCAAAAAGGCAATAGGTTGAAATGAATCTAGGCAAAGCAACAACTCTGCACGTTTTTTGTACATTTTTTTAGCCATCACTGCACGACCAGGACAGGAAAATGCCAAATTTCACGTTTTATGGAGGACGTAAACAAGCGATGGCGAAATTTTCTTTCTCCTCATCAGGGGTGTAGCTAGGGTGTGGTCCTGGGGTGCCTGTGACGCTCCCTTTATGAGATAATTGTTTTTTGTCCCTATAATTCAGGTGGCCAAAACGCACGAATCTGAAGAATCAACATGCAATAAATCTTTTCCAGTGCTAGATTGTTAATTACTCCATTTGCAGTGGACCATGTTCCTTTTCATAACTAAAATAGAGCAATTTATGCTATGTGGAACGTAATTAACCTATGCAGCTAGTTTGTAGGCTTGTCGTTTAGTAAAACACGGCTTGGATGTCGACATGCCAATCTGGTAAGTAACCTGGGTTTGACATAGTGATAGTGTTAGCCCAGCCCCCCCCATCCCTCATTGAAAAATCTTAGCTACGCCCCCGTTCCTGAACTTGAATATGATTCTTAGGAATTTGGCTGACAAAGACTACGCTTACATTTGACAAAGTAAATGGTTGGAGTAATCGCGATAGAGACTGAAAGAATGGAAATTCACTTTTTAAGCGACGTTTTTGTGGCCATCACCGTCGTGGTATCTTAAACTCCCTACTATTTTATTTTCATTTTCTTTTTTAATTTAATTTTTTTTAATCGGTAACACCTATACAGAAATGGTAATACTGAATAAACTTGTTGATGTTATTGCTATAATTATATGTTGAATTCACACAAGTGCATTTGATTGATTTATGTGAGACAGTTCAGTTTGGGAAAGCTTCCATTTTTTATTAGTGTGCTCTTAAAGATATCAGCCCTCTTTTTGAGTGCTGAGGTTTCTCCTGTAATAATGGAGGTTAAAATAGACCCAGGTTTCCGGACCCAGAAAAAGTGTCCCTTTCCTCTGAATAGAGGTCACCCGTCCCTTTAATTGAGGTTACCTAATAAATACAAAGACTATGCGCACATTTTCCAGGACCAAATTTTGTTTCCACTGAATCGAGGTGTCCCAAAAGAGGATGATCAATTCGGTTTGCTCAAATAAACCAACATGGATGAGGTTGTTAGCATATATTTACTGCATGGGGTAATGTTCAACAAAATCTTGATTCCTTTCTCAAGTCTAAAATACAATTTATTAAAACCTACAAAATTTTGTTAAGTTGAATTAATATCAGTGCAGTGAACACACTTGGGTGGTGGCACTTTGAGATTTAAAGAGATATCTTGTTTTTAGGCAACTAACTGTCCTTGTGAACATGACTTGTGATTGGCTGATGGTTATTGGGTGCAGCGCTTTGGTTGAGTTCATTGCACTTTACAACAATACTGTACTATAAACAAGCTAGCCTGCACCGTAGACACTTTCAACCTTCTTTAAACCAACTATATCTATACTGTACACAATACGTGGGCCGTCTGCACTGAAGGCTATAAACAAGCCAGATGATATAAAAAGCAGCATTATCTGTCAGCTCTAGTTCACCACTTCTCCTAGCTACTTACAATAAACGCACTAATATGATCAAAGAAAGTCCTTTGCAATTTCTTCCGACTCTAAAACCTTTACATGAAACAACATGCTCTATAAGTATGTTTAAACAATAAACTGCTTTCTTTTGAAAAATAAACTTAAAGTCAAAGTATATTATATTACATGTTATATCCCAAAAGGTCTCACCCAACCAAGTACTAATCCCGCCTGACACAGCTTAACTTCACCGAACAAACAGGGCAAGGGAACTGTGAGAATGTTATGAACCAAAACCAAAATTAAATACCCATGAATGATATAGCAAAAATAACATATAGGCTGCTGACTTTGGGGACCTCAATATAAAATAATATTTCAGATCCCAATAACTAAAAGAGTTAATTTTCATACTGGTACTGTATAAAAAAGAGAAATCACAAAGTCATACAGTGGCTTAGAAAGAGATAATAGCAAGCCAAGAAGAGGAAGTTTCTTGAACTACTTTTGAACTAGCAGTATACATGCAGTTTGTTTTTGTAACTGCCATTTCAATTTCAACCTCAGAAACCCAAGGAAAGCTTACACAGTATCAGCACCACAGGAAGAAAAACAATTGAAAAATCTTACATCCTGTGGACCAGCCTTTGGCAGATTTAGATCTGGAAAAACAACATGGAAAGGTAATTCAACAAAGAGGAGGAGCAAGAAATAAATTATTAGAAAAAGGGATGAAAACACCATCATCACTTGTTGCCCACTTGCCAGCTATATAGAAACGTTTTATTGTTCTGAGTATTCAGATAAAAATAATACAAAATGATTTCAAGGAAAAAAGGCTCCATTTGGCCCACCCCTAAATCCACCCTTACTGTTGCTTAATGTCACAGCTCCTTTGTTACTGAGAACAAGCTGATCTAAGGTGCCCGAATCAGGGTGAGATGAAAATTAAACTCATTGCATAATCCATAAGGTTAAGTCACAACAATTATTTAAAAACATCTATAAAACAAACTTGAATGTTAAATGTGTTTGCTACTCAGCTTTTGAAACATCTTGTATAAACATCATCCATAAGGTTAAGTCACACCAATTATTTAAAAACATCTATTAAACAAACTTGAATGTTTTAATGCATGTGTCTGCTACGTTATACTCAGCTTTTGAAACATCATCTACAATTCTTTCTATTATAACTTTCTAAACTTGTTGTAAATCTTTATACCATTTTTAATTGATCTATTACAATTTGTTACTATTATTATCTATTAATTGATCTATTTAATTGACAAGAATAGACTTTTATGGATGGATTATGTACGCTGTGTACCCTCCTAAATGCAGATTCCTGACTCAATTTAAATGGCAAAAAAAGAAAAGAACAAAATACTTTCAGCCCCGTACCAAAATTAACGCTCTAGCCAGAACGTAAATTGGGCCATAATTTTCAGCCAAACCCGGGCCGAAATCAACCAAAATAGGGCCTTAAAAAGTTCAACCAAAGATGAACCAAAACGAGCCTCACTGAAACGTAAATATTTGAGCCACAAAGTAAACCAAAATAGAACCCAAATCCTAACTACACTCTA